GACGTGGAATGAAATAAGCATATTTTAATACTAATTTTATATTTGCAAGATATTCTTGGAATACCGCTTTTATCTTCCGACTTTTGAATTCTTTTCTTTCGATATTGTATAAGTTTAAAATACATACATATTTATTTGATTGTCGGTGTATTGTAATTCGTAGTTGCACAAAAACTTGTGTTTATGTGATAATAAAAACCATTTAAAATTGTTATTGATGGATTTTGATAAGGAGTTAGGAGATAGTTTTAATCTGTGAACCATAAAGATGCAACTCCATTGAGCGTAAAAATTGTGGCATCAAGCCAGCCTATTTTGTATATAAAAATTCACCGTTCCCAAATTCTCATACAATATAATTTAAACCAATTCATCGCATATCAACCTATACACTACCGTTTAGTTACAGATTACGTTTTAAAAGCCAGAACAAAAGCGTCAATCACTAAACAGCAGGCCACGATCAATCACCTACGTGCCTGGAGCGGTGACGGAATAAACTAAAATTAATAGCCACTGTTAAAGGTTTCAATCTGAATATTCATTTTGAGAACTCTCGGTTAAGCTGTGACGTATGACGCAAAATCCTTTACCAAAACGTTTATTTTCTGTGGACTTTTTGAAGTTATACTTTTTTTAGGCGCGTTATGAAAAATTGATGAGAGTAAAATTTTACGATGCGCGCGCACCGTGACACAAAATTAACAGAATGAAGTTAGTGGCGCATGTTGGCACGCACGCCGCCTCTGTTCACTGTGTATTTATATTTATAATATTTATCCACATGCTTTGAGTTTCTAAATTTAAAACACGTGTTTTCATTTTGTTTTCATTATACAAGTTTGAATTTTGTATGTGCGTCTGAATTATAATCAGAAGTGATTTAAATTGAATATTTAAATCAATACTAATTAATATTAGAAAATAATAATAAATATAATATTAATAAATATTTATTTACTTAATTTTTCAAATGTAAACTGAACTTTATTGACTATAATGACTCCTTTTCCAGTCTTTGATTATTTAATTGTAATTAATTATTTGCATGCAATCAAAAACTATTTTTAATAATGCCAAAGAAGTATAACTTATTACGCGCGTACATAAGTACACGCACCCTTTTTTTTATCTATTTTATTTACAGAATCTATTGTTTGCATGTAATTAAATTTCTGGATTAGGTAGGAGAGCCTTAGCGCTCAGTATTACTTCCGTACGTGAAATCCAATACAAACTTGAATTACCCTAAGCGCCTCATATCTACCTCATACTATAAAGGCACTTTTATGATATGTACAGTTTTTATGACAACATATACGGAAATAAGTGTCCCTTACTACCGTGTTACCGCGAAAAGCGTTAAAGATTCAAACCGTGTAGTACGTACTCTGGCTGTAATATATCCAGTACTTAGATACAAATAGAAAAAGTGGTACCCTTACCTTTCGACCCAAAACATGTCCGGACATTTTTTGGGCGGTAGGGGCCGTTCAAGTATTACGTAAGCAGACTTACTGTACTGAATAATTACAGTTGACGTAATCACCAAATAAGAAAATCAAAGACCCCCCCTCACCCCTATAGTGCTTACGTAATACTCTACCGGCCCCATATCGTGCGGCGGGATTTTGATTTTCCTATTTGGTGATTACGTCAACAGTAGTCATTTTCTTTTTTACACATATTACCCTCACATTATCTATGCTTGAAAACGAAATCCAGTTTCGATTCTACAAAAAATTAATACGTTTATGTACAATTATTTTTAGAGCTTTGCTTACTTTTGCTGACAACAGGGGGGATAATGTTGCCAAGTCTTTAATAAATTACATATAATCACAATCTCCATAATCTCATTAATTTAAAAATGCCTTTAAGTAGAGAATAAGACGACGATAATGCATTTGTGATTTCACAAAAACCTAAATTGAATTCATTTAGATCATCCATCAAAGTCCATAAGAAGTAGGAATTATTTTTCTTTCCGCAAAAAGCCTCTCTGAACAGATTTTTAATGTCTTTTTTAATGTTATTTGATAAAACCATTTTAATATGATTGGCAGCGTGTTTACTGAATACTTTTAAAAACGGTTTTATAATTATGTTTGTATATACTGTGTTTTTAATTGCAACTTTTATGTATAATATGTAACGGTTATAAGGCGTAATTAATTAAACATGTAAGCAATTTCTGCATTGTTTATTTTTAATTAATTTTATATAAAGAGGAGACTACGTATACTATTTATGTCTGTATTAGGACTCACCGACTTCAAAAATCATTACTAATCGGAAACCCTGTATTAAGTTTTAAAAGTTTTCGTTTTAAAATAATAATTCAAAAGAAATACACCTTACTTTATCTAATAACACCTTGGAGATATTACAGTACTATTATACGTACTTGTAAATAAACAAATAACTAGAATCTATTATCACTAAATGTTAACTTACAAAAAAAGTCATGTACATATTGCGGCGTTATACTGTCAAACTGTATCCCAAAATTACTTTACATATGTATAATATCTTGTATGAAAAAGCAAATAACTGTTCTTTTAATTATATTGAATTTGAAAATCGCCTAGCTTTTTTTTATTTATTTCATCATTAACGGCCCACAAATAAAAAAAACCACCCTCTTGTTGTGACGTGCAAAAGTTTAACTTTGGGTATTATCAGAAATTTTAGCTATTATGAAAAAGGATCCAATTTACTTGGTTATCAATAAAACGACCCAATTTTCGTAGAATCCCCGATGCTGGGAATATCACAAAATTGTCACAATGCTACGTGACCAATCGAATGTTGGGACACCTACTGAACACCTCTGACGTCATCACTATTCTCAGGGGCTATCACTGCTGTATAAAAACCTATACAGGCTTATAACCATTTATAAAGATCATTTATAATTTTGTACTCTACCCTCTGGAGGCATTTCTTCTTTCTGTTTCTGTTCTAACACTGGCACTGATCTAAATCAAGTGCTTATCGAAACAATTTGTATGACCCAAAACTTAGCGATTAAAAAGAGTGGCGGAAAGTTTCTTGCCAGTTCTTCTTGCCCACTCCACGACCTTGCCCTGACTTACGAACTGATAGTAAATGTAAATTTACAACTAATTTAACTTCATTTTTGACGTTCATGGGTGTACTTGTGTACCTATATGAATAAAGATACTTTGAGTTTGTTGAGTTTTTAATGATTATTTCGCCATGATAGAACCTCCACACACCCCATGTGCAACACCAAACATATAGTAATGTAATTTCATTTAACACGAGTCTTAATAACAAACAAGGGGTTCCATTACAAGCAATATTGATTGTAGCCACATTTTGAGAACAAAGCTCACGAAATTCTCTTGGTCACGCCCGAGTTGAAAAGCTCGCATATTTTATATTGCACGGACTTACGTCAACCCATTTTATATGAAAGCTGCGAAAATTGGTGACTCAGTTCACTTTGGTGAAAATGTCTGAGTTCGATCTTGGAAAAAAATTTATACAGTTAGAATACAGAGAAAAAAGCAATTTTACCATATGGTGACTTTACCATCTAATATTCCTATGTGTTCCGGATACAAAAACATTTAAACTAAATAAATTAATTAACTTTGTTATGAATGTTTTATGTATATTTATATGTGTTTAATAAAACTTTTTACCTGAGAAAATCTAATTTATTACCCGCCTTTAGAGACTTTAAATGTTTGACTCCTTGATTTTCCTTATGCTTAATTAACTCTTTTAATAAAACACTATTTTGACCGGATTGAAGTTATGTATTATTATAAATTTACAACTATTTAACATAATTTTAAATTTATCCGACGTTTCGCGTGCTTTACAGCGTGCGTGGACGCGGTGGTGTGGTTGTAAATTTATAATAATACATAACTTCAATCGGGTCGAAATAGTGTTTTATTAAATGAATAAAAGTTATGTTAATCAAAGACAATACTAATTAACTCTTTCTATGTTATGAATTTTCTTAACTTATAAGAAATATTACAAATATAGTTATTTTTGTTTTACAGCTTTTTTGCATGATACCCAGACAGTTTCAAATCCAGAAAAATTAATCTTTCATTAATGACAGGCATTTAAGCAGTGATGATTAACTGAAAGTCTCCGTTTTGTTTATAGACAAGTAGGTGATCAGGCTTTGAGCTTGACCATGCCGTACATTTTTGCCTCATGATGTATACGCGTTGTATGCTTTTATTAAAATAAATTATTGAATAAGGCGAGGACCTTAACCTCTTACTTCGCTCAATCCGATAAGATTGACCACCTCGCGCGACCCAATCCGAGGTCCGAGTCTCGCAGGAGACGCTACGCTAGTCAAAACAGCCCGAGCTTAGCTGTCAAAGGCCAACAGCGAGATTCCGTTCCAAGAAAGAATGGAATATTTCAAAAAAAGGTCATGGGATCATTTTAATACATTGGCTAAACATTTTTTGCCTTAATGGATACTACGAATAATGTTTGCAAAAGTTAAAATTGGCTTTCAAACCCAGCTTCGTTAATTGTAGTAAACGTTAAATCTGTGTGACTAAAATTTTATTCATGACATTTTCCTTTTATTCGGCTGTTATCGAAACAGGAATGAATTGCAATTTCAAGTATTTTAGTGCTAAATGCAGTGGCAATATCGGGGATATGGTTTTGTGTATTTTTGTGAAATTCGGTATCAAACAAAAACTAAATGTGTTTTGAATTTTTATACACTGAATTAGTATTGTCGTGAAAATAATTGCAATCCATTGGACTGGATTTCATAATTGAATGCATAGACATAAGGTCGTTCACAAACGTTCGCAATGATGTGGGAATTAGTTTACTGGCGACAGCGTAAAGCAATACGTAGCACAAATTTTAATGTATGGCTGTGAGGCTCGAACGCTAACTGTGACTGAGGAGCAGAAGTTACTGATGGCAAAACGCAAAATACTCCGTAAAATCCTGGGGCTGACAAGGAGGGAGGACGGTCATGGGTAGTCCGTATAAATCCCGAAATAGAAGAGTTGGTAGTCCAACCCAACAATATAGACGATACGGGCGATGGACCACGTTGGCTGGAAACCTTGAGCGCATGGGCTAATATCGGGTGGTAAAGGAGGTTTATCTGAGTACTGCTGGATCGCGTGGGATACAACCAGCTGAAGCTGAAGGCCAGTAATTGGCGGGAGGTGACAGGACAGAAAGCGCTTAGAAAGCGAAAGATTCTCGTTTACGAGGCATAACATTGAGGAGCTCGGCATGCCTTAAAAAGTCGACTACTATTAAAGTAAATATTCACGTAACAAATACATAAATCTGAGGTTAGGTCCAGCGCGTGAACAATTTTATTTATGTCAAATATTTTCTAAATACAAGAACCTATAAAGATGTGTTATCCCATTAATATAATGTCAATACAGTGCGTGATCTACTACTGTGTGAGCAGTGAAGAGTATGTGAAATATGATAAACCACTTTTCCCGTACATTAAATTTTAAGCTCAGAAATAAAACTCTATCAAGTTGAAAATTCTTCGCAATTTATCGTCGCTTTAAAAGGTTAAATTTTTTCACCCATAAATAATATATTAAACCCTCAGTTATCTCAACGTAGATAAAGCGTGTGACAAATAAATTATTTTATAAAAATTTATGACACCACGATTATATCTAGGGTCTACATAAATCACGTGTTTTCTGAAATCGTAAAGCGTAGGATTTAGTATCGAAGGAGACAAGTTGTTATAAGCCTATTGTAGATAACTTAATGATGTTTTAATAGAAAATATTCGTGTTTGTTCGAGTTTTGAATTCGCCGCCCAAGCGATGTATTAAACATAGTATTTTGTAAGAATATATTTATTTGTACCCTAACTCACGAGAGTGGCAAGTTTTTTCATAATTAATAAAATGTAGGTCATTTAAGTAAGTTCATATATTTTTATAATTTACTAAAACGCTAGAACCACATAAAAAATCGAATAAGTAAAAAGGCTTCTTTTACAACAATAATTAAGTATGGCGTAACATTAGCGCGTGTCGTTTGTTTGTGATTGGTCAAACGAAAAGGCGGTTGGTTTGGCGTGTCTCTGATTGGATTAGAGATGTTGTTGATCAATCACAGTCAACTCAAACATACCTTTACAGTATTTTCATGGAATTGAACGAATTTAACTTTAGACTATAATCTTAACGTTTGCTGTCGCTCATTTGTTTTATCGTTTGTTCACAATATAATAGGCAAGTTTGGAACATGACGTAAGCTGTCAAGAATACGTCAGTTCCCATATCTAAACATTAGAAACCTCACTCAAGCTCCATTGAGGTTTGATGATGATCACGGTTAGACACAATGTACAATAATAAAACAATCCTCAGTTATGGTTGTTCCTAAAAACTTCTAATAAATAATAATATAAATTAATGTATCAATTTGCAAAGGATATTTAGAATTGTTATACATTTTTATGTTGTTCGTTAAATTGCGAATTAAATTGCATATTTTTGATGGATTGATACGTAAGGTTCACCAATGTCAAACAGAAAGCTCATCTATTCGTAGGCTTCTCATTATATTCTGCTCTTCTCGAAACATTTTGAACTTGCTCAATAAAAAAATATTTGTCACAACGAAATACTTTCCCTTACCTGTGAGGTAACGAGTTCGCTATTCTCACTGTTCGAAATTCAATCTCTTCAAGCGAGAGGTGTAAGTTAAAAATATTATATGCAGACGCTATCGAGTTCACACTGGTTTAGCTTCGAAGCTTCAACATCACAAAGCTCTTCAAGCATAGAGCATACTTTAAAACAGTCTAATAAATCTGTTCTTTTTTTAAATATAGTTTTTTTATGAAATAGAAGTATGTGTACTATTTAATGGACAGAATACATATGTCGATTTAAATGACAAGTTATAATTTTTTTTATAGAACGGGGCAACCAGGCAGATAGCTCACCCGATGTTAAGTGATACCGCCGCCTATGGACACTCAATGCCAAAGGGCTGGCGAGTGCGCCGGTCTTTAAGAATTGGTACGCTTTTTTCTTGAAAGACCCTAAGTCGAATTCGGCAGCTGGTTCCACATACCACAAACTGCCTTAAAAACGTTTACTGACTTTTCTTTCTATGTTCTAATATTTTTGTATCCTTTTCTCCTCACCTCTCTTTCCCCCCTTGCTGAATCCCTACTACTTTCCATTCAACCGCTGCACACACCCTGGGGTCTTCCCTAAGATTGACCTCCAATTGTTTAAAAACTACTCTCCCCACCACCCACTAAAATGGGTGTCCTTCTCATAACTGCCCTTTGGGCGTCCTTTAGGCTCCTTTGCCCCCCTACTCTATAAAAAAACTAGATAATTATTCTGAAAATATAAATGCTCATTTTGGAATTGGAATGCTGAAAGTTAAATTATAAATAAGTCTTAGTATGCGCCTTCTATATTATTTTGTTGATTTCCAGAACATATTATCTGTATGGGCAAATATTGAAGACCGTATCTAAGAATCATTCTTATATATAAAAATAAAATGCGTAAAATAAGATTATTTTGCCTATCCCTCCAATCATTGTTCGATTCCCAGCACAATCAGTATACGATATGGTTTTTACCAATTAAAGAATTATAGAATTTATCAATTATATCCAGTTATATTAAAGTCATAATAAAATATTTAACAAACTTAAATACTAACAAGTGGCGCTACAAACTTTTAGGTCTGGGCCTCAATTTGTGTATCTGTTTCGGGATCACTTGATTGTTCTAATAGGTAAGTAAGTTATCAGCGTGACACGCGCCGTCGGCATTTTGTGTCTAAGGCTTGTTGGTTTTGTCACGATGTTCTTATTTACCGTATGAAAGAAAGAAAAAACTTTATTACACATAAAAATTAATGTATAGTGCACTATCCCCCACCCTACGGGCTTCCCTGATTCTTCCATTTGACATATTAGTGTTTTAAGGTACATAATATGTTATACTAATAAGCGAGTGTTAAATGTGCAAATAGACAGAAAGTTAGTTGGTGCAGACCCGGGGTTTGAACCTACGGCCTCAGGAATAAGAGGTACAAGCTAAAGCCCGCACACAGCTCCTCTGAATTAAATATTACCAGTCACTAGTTCTTTAGATTATATACCTATACATTAAGTTTAATCCTGATAACAGTAGAATTAAATTTAAAAATTTGCATTAAAACATCCAACAGTATCTCTCAGTAAGCTGTCACTTTTATCACGGAGCCAGAACGTTGCCAAAATTAGATTCTACATGAGATGAACATGAAATATAACTTCAGCAATAAACAGTGCACTTTAGGCAGACTGACGTGAACGCCGACATGCGAAAGAGATTTAGAAAGCTCCATTTACCTTCTAAATCTAATTCTTTTGACTTTACAACGTTAAATATATCTTAAATGACTACTTTAGACTTTGTGTGTTGCATTGCCAAAAATATCTGACTTTTGAGGCTGTGTATTTTTAGGTTTTTTTATTACGAGTAGTAGGCGAACAGGCAGGAGGCTCATCTGATGTTAAGTGATAACTCCGCCCATGGACACTCACATTGCCCGAAGGCTTGTGCGTTGCCGGCCTTTAGACTGGATAGTTTGACTGCTTATCTGTATCATTATTGTGTAACTCTCAATCATAATGTTAACAATTGATAACAGTCAATAACCTTGTATTGGTATTTAAAAAAAAAGCAGCAGCAAAAAAGAGTCAAAAGAGCAGTGTTGGCCTAGTGGCTTCAGCGTGCGACTCTCATCCCTGGTCGTAGGTTCGATCCCCGGCTGTAAACCAATGGACTTTCTGTCTATGTACGCATTTAACATTCGCTTGAACGGTGAAGGAAAACATCGTGTGGAAACCGACACGTCTTAGACCCAAAAAACTCGACGCCGTGTGTCAGGTACAGGAGGCTGATCACCTACTTGGCTATTAGATTGAACAATGATCATGAAACAGATTCAGAAATCTGAGGCCCAGACCTAAAGAGGTTGTAGCGCTACTGATTTTTGTATTGATCTTTACAATCATTAGAAATTAAAAACGCCGATATGTGTCAAATTAGGTAATTAGGATAGATGGCGCCATTTGCTTAAGGAGTTAATTTTATGTCATGTAACAAATAATGCCTCCAGGAAAAAGAAACGTGGAAAGACCACAACATCTATGGGCGTTACAGTCAAAGATTCTAGAGAGCAATGAATAGAGGAGGCAAAGATCCAAATGAATGTTCAGGAGGAGGCCTTTACCCATTGCCGAAGTAATGGATACAACAATTACTTACGTAAACTAAGTGTATAATAGCAGAACGAACACCCAATTGTTTTGTCATTTTTTAATAGTATGGAACTAAAGTGGCTAAAACAAATAACGTTAAAAATTATAAAAATTATTTTGCTACATCAAAAAAAATTGTTTTCCAATATAACAATTTGTAGATTCATACTATTTCTTCTTAACTATTCCGCTATGTTAAATTATGGCAATGTTGAAACATTACGAAAACTCCTAAACCGAGTTCCGAAAGTTTGGTCAATAGTTACAACGTTTAAAACACAAAACTTTTAACAAGATTTTGAAGTTATGTTCAAAACTAACCCACTAAGAAATAACTTATTTAAACTTAGAACAGTTAAAGACACCCAGTTTGAGGGATTACTTTTAAATAAGTTAAGTCATTTTCTACTTCTAAGAATTTATAATATTCCGTAGAAAATAATCTACATCTCTTTCAAAAAATATAATTCCAATGTATCCTTAAATATAGTAAGGATGAAATATAATTTGATTTAAAGCTACCTACATTCACTACTACATTATTGGAAAAAAAAGGTGTGGGTTTAAGACAAAGCACGATTCTCTACCCTGAAATCGTGAGTTCTAAACCCGAACTATCTGTGGAATTAATGTTTAACACTCGTTCATACGCTTAAGGAAAACATAATGAGGAAACTGGCAAGTCTAAATCGTAAATTCAGTTTTATTCTTATGACTTCCATATACATACGACCTAAGACCACACAATTCGGTGTATGGTAGGCATAGCCGCCTACTTGACTAATAAGAAAATTTACCAACCAAACAGATCCAGAAATCTCTCACTAAAAAACTGTTTTACACATTTTTTTATTCATTTTATAAAAAAACGTTATAAACGTATTACATTATTTAGTTTATTCTAGCCTTTATAAAAATTTATATTGATAATAAAAATACATACATACTATAACATTTATTATATATGTCGGAGTAAGTTACTGATATTGTCAGAGCTTATAATTTAACAACATCAAAGTCAATTGTAATACTTGTGGTTTATTTGGTTTGCCAATATTGCTAGATCTATAAATTAACGACTACTCAATGGCCGAACTATAGGGATATCATAGTTATTATTATAAAAGCAATTTATTAGCACTTTAAACCTTTGAAACTTCAAGACTATCAATATTAAAGGAACCATTTAACACTCGTTCCTACTGCTGTTTGACTCTGTAAATTTGGGGATCGGTCTGGGAACGAGAACACGAGATATCACGACACTTGTTTATCACAAATTCGTAGACACTGGTTGTTGCGTTTCTTAATGGTAGTTTCACCATTTTAATAATTTATCTGCAAGTCCTCTTTTTCGTAATATTCAGGTCGTGCTTACTAGTTCATTGTTCAGGTTCTCGTTTACTGCTTTGTCAACAATCGGACCCTTTCGCTGCCTTCCTTTCGTTAGACAATATTCATAACGTTATCTGTCAGTTACTGTTGACTTTCTACCGTTACTTGTCTTAAGGGCCTGTATTCACTTTGATTAGTGATTGGTGCAAGTGATTAGTGCCGGTGATTAGTGATTAGGAGAAAACAAGTTTGGACTACGACTGATTAGTGCAGGTGATTAGTTGGCTGCGTAGTAAAGTGATTAGAAGCGTATTCTAATTTTTTGCGATTGGACTGCGAGTAGTGACGTCGCGTGCGCCCTCCCTTCCCCCTCACTTCCCCAAACTATATGACAACTGAATTTACTTTAGGCCTCCTAGCACCCAGGTCGCCGCGACCTAACCGCGGCGGCCAGTAATTCTGCTTTTTGCATCCTTACCCCTACCACTCGGCCGCCCGCCCCGTTGGCCGCGGCGTCCTTCCCGCGACCACGACCCGTGGCCGTCAACATCACTTCTTTTAATTTCAGTCTCCCGCCGGCCACTTCACTACAAGTGATTATTTTACAATGCCTTTCGACACGGAAAGGTTCATAATTGAAGTGAAATAGAAAGGTTTATGGGATTTACATCAATGTTACTCAATAAAGTGTTAAGCATGGCTAAGTGGTCGATTATTTGGCGGTCCTGAGAAAAGAAAACAGAACTTGGTTAGTATTTTATTTTATTTGCCTAATAAATTAATAATGCGATGAACTACTAATCAGCAGGTGCTGTAGTAGCATTCGACACGTATATGTGACATGAGTGATTTTTTTAAATTGTTCCGTTCATTCAAAATCTAAAAATTTTACATGGTAATTGTCAAAAGTATAACTATTTTATTTCTACTATTTTTCGCTTTGCACATAGTTTTGACAATTATTTGCTAAAATTTCCCAGGTTTTCGTAATGATTGGATAACTTTTTAAAAATTACTCATGCCGCATTCGTTCGACGCCATTTTGTTTACGCGCCAATGCGCCGGCGACCCCATATTTTCAAATTGTCCAGGGCCCCATCGGTACTGAAGTAGTTTGCGAATATATCTCATTTCGGTGATGTTCTATTTGCTCTTTAGGTAATCAGGTTTTCTAATAAAGCCTCTGGTCAGTTAACTTCCTTATTCCGTCTCTTTCTCCACATTTGACCACTAGGCTTTTATAATCACAACTCAAATTCTTTCTTGACTTTAGGGGTCGGTGAAGAATTCATTATTGCTAATATTCCAAATTCTTCAATTAGGCGGGCCGGGATGTCATATTAAAATGTCTTTCATTATTCAAGTTTCTCAGCCGTCTTGTTCCTATAAACCTTACCCGGGCATTGATTGGCCATTTTCTTTGATGGGGTTATTGCTCATATCGAATCATTATTTAAAAGCCTTGATAAAATACAGAGTCTTTGTAAATGCGAATCACTCATTGCCGTATGCTCCAATATCTAAGTAAAGAAATTTATAATTTACATCACATATTCAATCACGATTGAAAAATAATTCTTGTAATTGTAATAAAGAGATCCCGAATGTTTGGTTTGATAACTCTAATGTCTTGCCGTGATGGCTCGTAAGGAATTGTATTTTTGAAAACTTACGTTGAATCCACTTATCTCTGTCAATTTGGCATCACAATTGGTTTTAATATCTCCCATATTGCTTCACAACTCAAATACTATTTCCGATACTGTAGGAGCCCTTCGGTTTCTGACTTATATGAGATAAAGAACACCCAGTACCAAATACCTAAAATAAATTCAATTAATAAACATAATTTAGTTTTGTAATTTACTCATTTATTTATTGATTTACAGGCATTACTCTCCAAAAAATGGAAAACTTGAGACTGTTTCACAAAGAGCTGCGCCGTCTTAAAGATGTCAAAAGTGGTTCTCTCCGTAATACATCCTATTTCAACCAATTACTGTTTTTAAATCCCCCGAAAATAGTCTCGAAGAGGCAGTCTGAAAGTCAATCTTCATCTGAACTCACATCTCATCAAATCCTTAGAACAAAAGGAAGATCCCGAAATCCGATCAGACCCTCTATTCATTCTCAAGCCACGACCACGATTCAAATTGTGACAACTGTTTCTTTTATCCCTCCTAATTTCAAACATCCCTCTCAATGAACCAAAGCGAAAATGAAATCATAAATTATAGAAATCCACCACTGTCACCTATCGCCGAGTTATTCAGGTTTTCTACTACCACAGGATATCAGATGATTCAAATTACAGCGATACTCATACTCATTATTCTGATATTTCTCAAAATTCAGAAATGATAGACCTATTTCCCAATTTGAATGATTAATTGTTCACAATTGCCATTTTTTAAGTTATGAAAATCAATAATTTGATTATCTACTTAGTTTTTTATATTTAAAATTTTCGCCCTTTTCCTCTCCTTTTCAAATCTAAAGTAATACTCTGACTAGTTCATAAATTTTTTAAAGTGGCAACTTGGTCATAATTATACAGGTTGTTGTGAAAAAGCAAGTGGTGGTTTAGGGTGATTCAGAATCAAGTCTTTTAATTCAAATTTACAAAAAAATCCGTTTGCAGTTTAAGTAAAAAAAAGGCCCTAACATTATTTTTATTTTTCCTGTACACAATCTCCATCAAATCCTTTAAAATTATCACGTATTTTTTAAACATTCTGTATTTAAAAAGAAAAACTTACCTTATTGTTATTACTAATTTTTCTTCTGCTGGAATGCATTTCCGATAGTTGTTACCAGTTCCAGTAATTTTTGGTTTTATTGTATCCAGTAACAGGTTAAAAGTATTCGTTGACATTCTCATGTAATTAAAGTCTCTTCTCATACATTTTTAAATCCAAAAATAAGTATTATTAGGAAAAATTAGAACGTGTGTACTTTAACTTTTAAAATCTACCAGGTTAGGTTTAACAAGCCCGTTCCCGAAGTCTAGAAATAAAAGTGAGTCAACGCCGGTGTTCCATGCTTTTTAGGTTTCTGCTACAAGATGGCGTTAGTCCCACACGGCCTCTCCTACCCTAGTCCTCGTCAGGATTTGATGTCCCAGTCTATACTGTCATGTCTGTAGTAGAATAGAACGTTAGAAAATTACAGTTCTGGGAAGGTATTGCGTCGTCTATTTGGTCACAGCACATATTTACTTGGTTTAATACAAACAATCAAAGTAATAAAGATAGAAAAACTTTAAAGTATCAGACTCCAAGGAATGAGTAAAGATTATTTTAACCCTTACAAGATTTGAAACAAACTATCACTTTCATTGTAAGGACTTGTGTAAACAATTACAAGTTTAGTGTCACCATAAAGGTGTACTTATTTCTCAAAGATCGTGAGTTGGGGCTGGTTACCCTGTCCATGATCTTTTTACCATTCATAAAGGAAGATCGTGACTTTGGGCTGGTTACCCTGTCCATGATCTTTTACCATTCTACAGGAAGAACATGAGTTTGGGGCAGACCCTTCATTGATCTTTTACCATTAATACAGAAGACGTGAGTTTGGGGCTGTTACCCTGTCATTATCTTGTTACCATTTATACAAAGATCTAGTTTGGGGCTTACCCTGTCCATTATCTTTTACAATTTATACAGGAAATCGTGAGTTTGGGACTGGTTACCCTTCCATATCTTTTACCATTTATACAGGAAGAACATAGTTTGGGCTAGTTACCCTTCATTGATCTTTTACCATTAATACAGGAAGATCTAGTTGGGGCTGGTTACCCTTCCATTATCTTTTACCATTTATACAGGAAGATCGTGAGTTTGGGCTGGTTACCCTTCATTGATCTTTTCAATTTTACAGGAAGATCGTGAGTTGGGACTGGTTACCCTGCATTGATCTTTTACCATTTATACAGAGATCGTAGTTTGGGGCTGGTTACCCTTCATTGATCTTTCAAAAACATATTACAAATTAGATAGCTTCAGACTTACACAAATAAAATAAACTCAGTATATTTCAATACACCGTCTATCACAGGCTCTAGTGTCTCTGCGACAATTTTTGAAAAAAACTCATACATTTTGCATGTTCTCTAAGTGGTCTCCATTACCCAGAAACTTAAAACAGACCCATCACTTGTATGTTCTCAAAGTGGTCTAAACACATTACCCACAAAAATTTAAAACAAAACCCATACCTTCTGTTCTTAATAACAAAACCAATCATCCTTCTGATTTACAAGGGGGTCTACACCCACATTAACGACAGTGTCCTGATTGATTTGACTTTCTTCAACGTTCGGCCGTCCTCTGTCAAAGCATCTCTCTCTACCTCCACTAACATCCCAATTTAATGCGACACTTCACTCTCTACCCCCTTTTACCAAAAGCACTTTTAAAATGTTAATCACTCTACTTCGTACATTACGGACCAAAGAGAAGGAAAATTAACCCATTACTCAAACAAAAAAAGAGAAGTACGAAAATTCAAATCCCAATCTGATATTAGGAAAACAAAGATTAGAACGTGTAGGTCTTTAACTTTTAAAATCTACCGAGGTTAGGTTAGTAACAAGCCCGTTCCACAATCAAAATAAAAGTGAGTCAACGCCGGTGTCCATCTTATATAGGTTTCTGCTACAAGATGGCGTAGTCCGCTAACAGTATAATATAATCCTTTAGTCTTTCTCTCCAAAGTAATGGATGCACCCAAAATGTCTTTTACGTGAAATCTTCCGTTTTCGTTTTCGTAGTAAATACACAAGCCAGTTAGCGTGATTATCTTCTGCACGTCCATCTTGACACATCCTTGGAAGTCGACTGCAAATTTTTCGGCCGTCCACATGTCGCGCTTGCCTACGCACCGGCGACCATGGCCCGGCGGCCTGGCCGCGTCTATGGTCGCCAGTCGTACAGCCTTACAGAGCCACTTAACAATAATTGGACACTACTTGCACTACACACTCGCACTAACCAATGTCTATTACTAATCACTTGCACTCGCACTAATCAAAGTGAATACAGGCCTTTAATCTATAAACCTATCTCTATATTGTTTATTTGAATATTGTATTTAACTTGTCTTTTTTTTTAAATATTTATTTATTATTACACTCAAAACCACTCCAAATAATTTTGTAATACCAAAGTATTTCAGCGTAATATTCCAACCTACTTATTTTCTCCCAACGGATGAGCATTGCTCAAGCATACACTCCGCCATCGGTTTGAATTAGTGTCATTTCCACTGCTGAATTAATGTTTTAGATTACTTAGAAGTAGAAAACGTTAAAAATAATTCAAAATTACATCATAGGAAAGTGCGTTACCTACACTATTTAAAGAAAAAATAGAGGACACCGTGAGCCATTTTTGCCAAAACCCTCCATCTTTTAGTCGATACCAACTCCGGGGAAATAAATACAGATAATGCTTAACTTTCTCTACAGCTGTGATACTTTTTGACTTCCAACACCTTTTGTCTTCAGTCACCGTGACCACGCTGTAAAGCACGCGAAACGTCGGATAAATTTAAAATTATGTTTAATAATTGTAAATTTATAATAATACATAACTTTAATCCGGTTAAAAAGTTTTTTTTTTTAAATGTGTAAAGGTTATGTCAATAAAAGATAATACTATACACTATTTAAAATTATATGCTTAAGGCTGGCAAAAGGCTATTTGTGATAATTAATCGCGTTTTATCTTCGCACAACAGTACTTTATATGATATACAATAGGAATAGTCGTGAATAGACATAATGAAAAAGAAGTATATATAATGAATAAAAGAATATATAACATGAAACTTACCTTAAACAGGTCGCTTATATAACTCCACGCGTTCTACTAGTTTGTAAATTATTGTATTGTTTTTAAGTGAAAAGTTTTGAATGTTACAGAAATGTGCTTTCAGGCTCAAACAAAATACGAAATAAATTGACGGTTTTAAAAAACGAAGAGGGAACAATTCGGCGTGTATTCTAGTCTCACCACTATTCAAGACGGGATTTCTGTGTGAAATTATTCAGTTTAGATGCGGTATGCATCGATGTACATAATTAAAAAAAAAACATTAATTTTTTTATCAAAACTGTTTTCAATGAATACAGATAAATGGAATGTTAAATGAACCTTTGTTCTATAAAATACCGTTAATAATTATAATTTATTAACAAAGTACATAAAAACAAGTAAAACTAATCTATCATAATGTTATAACTTGTCTCTATAGCAGTATGCTGTTGTTGGCAGATTGCAGATACTTGCCGAGATTTTCTGCCAAGTTTATCCTTTCAGCTTCTAGATTAGAGAACAGACAGTAAATGTAAGTTTAGAATCATGTACATTGTGTTATCTTTATGAATAATGATAAATAATACTAATAATATATATGATGATTTTTCTTTCATAAGCAATTAGGATATCAGCTTTCTGTTTGTGACATGTCGGTTTCATTACGATGTTTTCCTTCACCGACTAAGCGAGTGTTAAATGCGCACATAGACAGAAATTCCATTGGTGCACAGCCAGCTATCGAAACTACGACCTCAGAGATTAGGGTCGCACGCTAAAGCCACTACGATAACACTGCTCAAGCAGGAAACACTTCTTCATTTCAATCAATCATTTCTGAAGGTCGCTGCACAATTTCCTCAACTACCCCCTATCTTAGGTATGGTGCTGGGTATGGTATGACCTGCAAGAGCCTTTACTTGACAGCGAGCAGGGAATCAGGTCTAGGGCCCTCCACTCGGCTATTCATAGTAATTTTCTGGACCTCTTTTGTTCCATACATGTCCAAAAAACTCAGGATCCGTCACAAAATGTGTCTATATAAACCCTTCGTTTCAAAAGTTATATTTTTAAATGACAAATGACCCCAGCTATAACCCGACATGGAATTTCATTTAAAGAAGCTACATAACTCTAGCTAATTTTGTACCCTATGAATCAAGTTTATGTGGCACCGACATTTTTGTACGTACGTAAAGGTGATTTATCCTTTCATACTTTGCTACGTGCAGTTCGAATAAGCATTGATATAGTATCAACTTTTGTTTAGAATTTTTGTATAGAGTTTGTATGAATAAACATCATCATATTTGCACGGACGCCCCACACTTAAGACATCCATAGACATATATAATACTAGTAGACTCGGCCAAGCGTTGCTCTGGCTAAGATTTTTGTTATATTACATAGTAGTAAACTATTCAAGGGAAACGGTAGGAGAACTTATGTGAACGGTAGATGACAGCTTCTTGAAACGTTATAATTTTAACACAGCGCCATCTGTTAGAATTGTATCAAATAATAAACAAATATTTTGCAATAAATTAAAATTGCGACTATAATTTGAGATTTAAACTATCCTATCTCTCAAGTTGGATCGAACTGCACATGGTGTGCAAATTTGATTGATATCGGTTCGGTAGTTTAGGAGTCCATTGAGGACAAACATTGTGACACGAGATTTATATATATTAAGATAATCATCATTAGACGTCAAGACAGAATACAAAATACCATCCGTATTACCTTGAGGTCTGTCGTTCCACAACTGAGCGTTTCTTAAGGCAGTTTTTACCGCGTACCACCACTATGTGAACCAGCTGCACACTGATGTATTTTCGAACCAATTTGACTTAGGTCCTTCAAGAAAAGAGCATACCAATTCTTATAAGGCCGGCAACGCACTTGCGAGCCGTCTGGCAATGTGTATGTCCATGGGCGGCGGTATCACGTAACATCAGGTCAGCAGCGTCTGCCTTCTGTTACATGCGTTTTGTAATATATTTAGAACGATGAATAGGAGTCTATCGATCTATGGTTTGCATAATATTGTTACGGTTCTAAGATACTTATCAAGGAGATTCTCAACTAAATTAAGACTAAATAATTTTCTTAAAATTGTTGACTGTTTGATTTATTTGTTACGGTACGGTACCTTTTGTTTAATTAGTACAAAAACCAATTAAAATAAGGCACCGAGGAGTACAACAAACTTACTGTTGTTTCTTAAGCACATATTTACTTACCAAAGGAAACTATGTACTTGATTATATATTTAGTTATATATATAAATAATAAATAAACAGTTTACCTATATTTCGTCTCCTTAAAAACACTTGTTATACTTTTACCAAATGTATAACTAACATTCCCGTTTTCTTTCCAGGAACAATCACACAAGTCGTACCGTCCCCTGACGGTGTTGACATTCAGATGGAACTACGCTATCCATGGTCTGCAGCCAGCTGGCTACCATCTCGTCAACCTGCTTTTGCACGCACTCGTCTCTCTACTATACTACAGGTAAATATACAAAAATATTATGTTCGCTTCTATATCTCAGGTGGCTCGCAGTCTTAAATAATATATGTTAGAATGTACGTTTATGTTGTAATAAAAGTAATATTTAATTAATACAATTTATTCTGAGATTATACAAGTACGATTCGATCATTTTGTGTAAAAATATATATATAATTAAAGGACCTCTCGTGACATAATTTGGACTAAAAATTGGTTGCGTAAAATACATATTCTAACAATATCATTATCAACCCTATAAAACTTCACTCTTCTACGATCAACCCCTAAGATTTTTATTGAACTAAAAAAATGTTTCCTAGAAATAATATACATGGCAAAACAACGTTTGCCGGGTCAGCTAGTTAAAACATAAAATTGTTACTAAAACGTCTTAAAAAGATTTTAAATAAACAATTGAACCATAAACCGTTATAACACAAGAAGGACCTGAATATTGAAAGTAATTGAATCAAAATCTATATTTCAGCATGAACCCTTGAAATCGGAAAATTAATAACTATTTAATGGAAATTTCAGCAACCGTCCAAGTTGTTCGATAGATGCCTCTCATATTTGCGTAAGTTAAAATTAATTAATATTAAAGTCCAATCACAGCTGCGTCGTTAACCCTTAATTGTAGATTGATTTTGGGAACTTTTAATTGTTAGGAGTCAATAAATCAATGGCGATATTGAACCCACTTGGAACTTCGAATAGTTAATAGGTTTGTGTTTAATATAGGGCAACACCTTTTTTATTTCAGTGTATGAATTTATTTATATATATAAAACTCTCGTGTCATAGGAATAAGCTTGACCAATTTTGATGAAATTTTGTGTGTATTCTGAGAATAGGTAGAGATTTTTGATTTAAGTGATAATGATTTAAGGGACGGGCATCCCAAATTTTTGAAGTGAAAACTTCTTTAGCGGCGTTGTACACTTTTTTTTGGAATAGGTAAAACATGTTAAACTCGCGTCAGGACACGTGACTTTATCGAAAATTCGTAAGACGGATGGAGAGTAGAAGACAGCTGGCGCGGCGTATTTAATGTAATATAAATTGTCATGTATAGAGTACGATAGCGCAATCAATAAATATTGCATTCTACCACATAAATGATAGTACTTTTATACTGATAACCATTCCAAAATATCAAAAATGCACAACGTTAATATTCAAGTTTTCACTTCTGCCGGCACTCCCGGAGTGCAACCCGTCTTTTTTTTGCACAAACCTTTGCGGACCTTCCGGCAATGTGGAACCTCCTACCCTTTTGGATCATGTTCTATGAAAAAATTTGTGCAATTAGACCAAAAATTTATTAGCTATCTGTGGTAATACAGGCTGTATCTAGCAGGCAGCTAATCACCTTATAAAAAAATAATAGATACCAAAGTAAGTTTTGTAACCTACTGTAAACAATTCTATGATGCAATTATTACACTATTTTTTGCAAATTAAATAAATATTTAAATTAACTTCTTTATTACACAATAATAATAATTAATATTGATTAATGGAATAATAAAACAATTTTAAAAAGTTTGGTCCATGTGGTACCTTTAATGCTGGCTGCATTTGCTCGCTGTATTGCGATACTTATTCGTTCGGGCCTTTAATTACGCAAAAGGTGCACAAAGAGCAATGTCTTTTATTAATAAAACCAAAATCCTAGTCGACTATTAAATATAGCAAATGGTTATTTTATACAAATGGGCGACAGCGCATATTCGCAGATACCACACAATTGATTTATGATTTCTTAAGAAAATTCTTTGAACTCAAACCCTTTTCATTTCTATATCTGCTAATGAGCAATTAAAACTGTTAATTAATAGATTCAGTATTACAAAAGTTTTAGGTATAATTACCGCGTACTACTTCTATTTGTTTCTAGAGCCAAAGTGCTCGAGTTAAGCCAGTTTTAATCAGGCGACCGTCCGATCCCCTTAGTTACTGCTAATTACCACTTGCTATGTCCACCACGAATTTATCCCGAGTTTATGCTCAACATCCAATTTTCCTCTTTAATCCTTTTAAAGATCACTCAATTGGCTTTTCGGTTTTATCGTTTAATGCCTAGAATTACATATTTTTCGTAATGTTATTATTTATTTATATGTTATTATTATATTTACCGTCGTACCCTTATGAATAAAATTCGTACTTCATTTGTGAATAAGTTAAATAAATTTTTACCAAAGAATGTTGAATTACTAGACCACTTGTAATTACCACTCCGGCCTAGAACGTATTGCTACGTTCTAAACCTACACAGTCACCTAGCTGCGACATACAAAGACCGCTAGGCTATAAGGCCCTTAAATCAATTGTTACCAAGGAAATTGTATGTTTTTTATTGTTATTATATATATATTAGTATTTTGTGTAATCCTATATAACAATAAAAACATACATTATTGTCCCGCTGTAATATTTGTTTATATATTATTTTAGTTTCTGTAAAACTGTTTTAAGATACACGTAATATCATAACTTTTTAATTTTATTTTTTCCGTTTATACTTCGACAATTATAATGTAATTTGTTTCCTTATAAATAATTAGATATCATTATAAATCCAGTGTGAGTGATGATGTGAACCGTGATGATGTGAACCATGATGATGATGACAAAATGTTTCTTTGAAAAACCATTCTAAGGGCCTTAATTCTAATCACCGTTCGATCAGCCGTGCCTTACAATTAAATTGACTTGGGTATATTAGGTATATTAGTTACGACATTTACTTACCTCCACGGTAGGAGGTCCTGACTAATTGCGCATATACATAGATCATTGATACTCAGCCGGGATATGGGAACGACCAACAGCATCATACAGTCACGCGCTAATATAACTTTAAAAGGCCGGCAACGCACTCGCGTCCCCTCTGGATTAAGGTATCTCGTTTACCAACATGTATAAAAAACATATTTTACCGACACTGCTTATCATAGTTCAAAAGTAAATTATAAAACTATTTTCCTACCAATCGATATAACTTACGTATATTTAAAAACTACGGAAGTCAGACTACTACTAAAGTAAAAAAATCAGCTATAATACTTCTTTTAAGTCGGTTAAAAATAGTTGACTATCTGCTCTTTGTCATTAACTGTCTTCCTTCGGTCACGTTGCTCGAAACAGATTTTGCTCGACTATTTCTAACAATACAAAAGAAATTGTAGGAAATGTAAACAAAGGAAAACCTTTTCTAGTTAGATATGCAAAATTGTGCGGTCAACGGTTAACCGTTTCGTATTTTAACGGTTTATACGAAGTAAACATTATCACTGCGATGTTAGTTTCCGTATCGTGTTGAATTTGTTATCTATTTCAGACTTTATATATTTGCTGATATCATGTACATGTATTGTGTATTAATATTTGTAAGAAATATCCATATTAATGTGAAAGATCAGATTTTTTGTTTTTAATTTT